GAACTAATCTTTGTCGTAATGTGATTTGGGGTTTGAAAGCCACTGAGACGTCATGTTTAGAGAATAAACGTCTCAGTTTCACCTGAAACTCATCAGACTGAAGAAGTCTCTTGGAGGAGAGAAGAACCGTTTCACTAAAGAAGAACCCATCCAGAGGACCTACTTATTTTTTTCTTTTTGAATAGAAGTAAGACAGTTATTGTAAAGAGTATAAAAATCAACGCTGTACCTTTGACTTTAACTTGTATGATGTCGCTGGCGTCTTCCAGCCCCTGCTGCACCTCGCAGCGATAATAACCCGAGTCACTGTGGCGCAAATCCCCCAGCCACAGCGACGCGTCGTCAGGAGAGTAGGTGTAGTTGAACAGCGAGGCCCGATCTTGGTACGCATCGTTGAGCTTCACCCTCTGATCTCGTGCCACCAAGATCTGCGTCTCCACCCCACCGGACACCACTGTCCACTTTATCCGAGGTACCACCGGAGAGGAGGAGGAGGAGGAGGAGGACAGAGACACAAAGCAGGGGATAGAGATGGAGCTGCCCAGGGGGGTGAGAACTGGACCTGAGTGGGGGATGTTCACTTGAAGTGGGCGAACTTCCTCTGAAAATCAAAGAAATTGGTCCATCAGAGCACAGACTGTTTATGATGTGAGTAGAAAAGAAGTATGATGTGAGTAGAAAAGAAGAAAAAGTAGTCGTACCGTGTGCAGGTGGAGTTTGGACAGGAAAGGATAGCGTGAGATGACAAACTGCACAAAGGAGTGGAAGTATCTGCACACGTCTGTTGAAATAAAACAGTGAACATTTAAAAAATAACTATGCACATGCTGTATCTTCAAATGACCAGTGAAGCTAACATGCCTGTTTCTGATATAACTTTAGCGTAGCTGCTTTTTGCTCGTTTACAGGAGCCTCAGAAGATAAACAAGTCAAAGTATCATGAGCTCAACCAAACAGTAGACTTCTCTGGTTTCCTAARAGAAACCAGCGCCGCAGGCTTCTGCCCACAAGCCATTTATCACCTTCGTGAGTTAATAACAGCGGCTCAGCCTGGAGGCATCATGCCAGGCCTCTGTCACCAGCCTAGTCCTGTTATTAACCCAGCAGGCCTGGCAGGACGTCTGCAGTGACCTCACACAACCTCCGCAAGGACAATTAGGAAGGTGGAACTGATCGTCCATCATTTAAAAGTTGAGTCTGAGCAAAACATTACTTTCAATTTATGAGCTYAGAGGTATCTTTACCAGAACACACTGTTTGTAACTGTAGAACCTGCTGTTTTGGTTCATAGGACGTTTGCATGAATGGTTTTGATTATCATTTTTTTAAGTGGAGTTGTTTTAGAATCTGTCTACTTTGGCCTTGCTTAAACTGTTCACTTATCAATCACATAAATATTAAACTTAATTTCTTCAAATTGAGCTTGTTTAAAAATCTATATAAATTCTTCTGAATCTTTCCACTGAACCTCACTTCAAAAGATCTGAATTATCCCTTTAAGTTTTAGAAGCAGTGACAGACTGACAGTGGTGGATGTAGTGAGTTAAAGCTTTCATATAAAACACTGAGTTTATGCTGCAGATATTCAGAAATATCAGGATTTCTGTAACATTTTAAAGCACATGTGTCAAACTCAAGGCCCATGGGCCAAGTCTGGCCCTCGTTAACATTTTATCCGGCCCAAATGTCATACTTTAAATAAGAAATATTTTAGTTTTATGGTTTCTCTTCTTGTCAAATGTTTATTGTGCATTTTTTCATAACAACTGCCCAACTTTCAAGCAAAGAAAATTTAGTTAGAACATTTCAGTAATCTTTGATTTTGGTGTAGAAAGAGCAACAGAGAATAACCTTTAATCATCCTTTTCTGTATTCTTTTCCTATTTTAAAGTAAAATGATTGGATTTTTTTCTTGACTTGCTGGATTATAAACCCAATCCCACATTACTTTTTATTTCTATAACAATAATTTGTTGTATAACATTTTTTCTATAAATATTGACAGAAATTAGCCCTTGACTTGGACCAGGTTTCAAACTTTGACCGCTTTAAATCAAACAACAAGCAGAAACACAGAAATTATTTCACATTTTTATTTTTAACTTTTAAGTAAAGCAGTAGGACTCATCCAACTCAGTTTCATTTTGGTCAATATTCACCATCAACAATAACCTCAGAGAAGCACAGAGAAGGGATTCATTAATGTCAAGATCAAGTTTTAAACAAATAAAAAAAATAATCTTCTTAATTTTGGTTTTAATGAGGTAGAACTAAAAAAACAGAAAGAAAATATTAGTAAAATTAAAGCCTGGAGTTTAACAAGTCTTAAAATGAACGCTTTATATTTTCACATCAAACTCACTCTATCAAAGGGTTCAACACAACACAGCTCACTAGCTTGTCAAATCAACCGGCCTTCTTTTCTGAGGGTATAATTGTCATCTGTTTTCTTGCCAGCTGGGTGGACTCTACACGGCCGCTATCACTATTAGTATTCTYGACAAGAAAACGTCTCACACATAGCGAGCAGCGGGCCAAGAGGACAGCTGCACACTGTGCTTTCACTTCATAGTGACTCCCTCACAAAAGGCTTCATGGAAAATTAAAGGGCAGGCCACTGGCACGCTTACTCGCTTTTTTTTCCTTCCTCCCTTTTTCTTTCTCTTGCTCTTTTCATGGATGGAAAGGGAAGTTTCAAACCACCGAGAATCGCTGTGGTCCAGGCTTTGTACAGAACAGCGACATTAAATCTCTGGAAACTGATTGAAACGGCCTCACTGTTGTGCTTAAATACTGACTTGTGCATTCAGATTGATGGCAGAGAAGAACACCCTGGTTGTTGGGTACTTTGTCCCATCTTTAGATCACTTTGTATTTACTAAAAGCCTTGCAGCTCTTCTAGTTTTAAAGACAGAAATGACAAAGACGGGTAGAGCTGTGATCAAAGCCACCCACTCTATTTAGAGGTTTATAAACTGCAGCTAATGAAATTAATATACATTTTAATGCAACACATATATCTAATGATGAGGTATTAAAAGAAGATCTTTCAATCTGTGCCATTGATACAGATCCAGCTAAAACGCTGCATCTCCAGGGTGGCCTCTGCAGCACTCTGCATCAGTGTCAATAAAGGGGAACCTCGTCCTCCCATAACAAACCAGAAAATGGCTCCTGATCCTAATTTAACCGGGTCAAACACGTCTGTTTGACGGATGCTCTGTGAGCTCGGCGGAGTGCCCTGAGAAGCATTAACCACGCGTTTAATGCACAGTAAACATCTCCTCGACAGCGCACTGATTGACTTTTTACAAGGTGCAAATGTGCCGGTGTGGCTTTGTTACCTTGTTTGTGCCCACAGCCCTTTTTTGTTTTACAGTTTAGCTTAAAGGTTCATAAATGTGACAGCGAGTATATGAATTAAGTGCAACAATAAATGGGTCAAACTTCATTTATCTTACAGCAACAACACTCAAGCTCCTAATTCAAAGCAGAACATTCAGTTCAGTTCTGCTCCTCAAAAAACAACTGATCATCTGTTCGAGCTGCTCTTATGAAATATTAATTAATTAATTACACATTTCATTGTCTAWATTAGTGCTTATTAATTGCTCCAGGGAGTCCTTTTTGGTAGTTGGGAAAGTGGAATTTGCAACACCTGGTTTGATTTTTTTTTTCCCAACGTAAAGAAACCTAAAGAACACATTTTCAAGTCCACATTTTAATTTAAATAAAAAGTCTCACAAATGATCTTTTACATGACTTTGCTTCTTTTTCTAGATCGCTGTTTTTGAAACATTTATTAGAAGATTTAGAAAAYAAAGGTTTGTTTACTTTACAATCTAAATCTGACTTTTTGTGTAATTTCTACCAAAGACAGAAAACTTGGTGCCACTTGGTCCAGACATGTCTTCTCTTTAATAAAAAAGAAATAGAAATTTCTTTTTTTTTTTTCCAACTTGAGGAGCTTCTACATYCCCCTGGGAAGTTCTGACACAACCACAATCCCCAGCATACCTGCAGAGCCACCAGTCCACAACCACATTAGAGGTGGTCCGACTTGAGTCAGACGCTTCACTCAGCGCCACAACTCCGGCTGCCTCCACCTCGCCAAGAAAACCACCGGTATGTCTCCCAACAAGATGGCTGCATCAGAAAAGCCACCCAACTGAATGATTCACCAGGGCAGCGTGTGTCAAATATCCCAGACCTGATGCAGTAAATTCACGGAGGAACCACAGTTTGCTCATGACAAGCCCATGACACAAAACACTTCAGTCGGTTCTGCCTCATAAAGACATGATTTCCATGTCTGTGTGTAGAAAGTTATTTGATGAGACAGTGCTTGACTCATGGTTCTACTGTTTTCCACTCCACTCCACTCCAATAGGTGGCAATAGATGCTGATTTTTTTTCCAACCGGGGTTATCTTTCACCAGAAATTTATTGCAATTTTTGTGTCCTGTATAAAAAATTGTGCTAATGTGGTGCAAATTTCCTCACACAGTATCAAAAAGAAAAATCTGTGCAGTGTTTTTCCATTAGTCTGTTCTGTGTCARTTTTATCATCAAGCGTGCATTGATAAGTTTTACGTCGTGCAAACTGCGGACTACAACAACAAAACTTTCTCATCTCAGGCGAGCATGTTCGCTTCTTGTATCTGTGAGCTGCTAACATCTAAATCAAGGCCAAAACCGGCAGCTCGTGGTTGTAATTTAAACYTGTAAGACATAAAAAAAATGTTGCTTTGCAGCTTTAATTATGGATTTAGTTCTCTAGTTTGTTGGTGGTTTTAGTTATTTTCTTTGCACTTGTTTGAACTTCATAATTTGGTTTTACAGTTTCGGTGCTTTCTCTTTTCTGTCCACACAGAAGCTCAGAGTTCCTCTGTAGCTTTTTTTTCTGAGCTTAACATAGAGCCAGTCCTAAGATAAACTGCAGGAAAAAAGCCAACATGCCGAGTAGTGATTCTTAGATAATGAAACAAGAGGACAATCTCACTGAGCAGACACACAAATGAGCATTAAATTATGAAAACCTGCATCATCCATTTAACCAAWCTTAATGTTGTTCCATCATTTCAAATCAAAGATTAACATCACCTTGCTTTTTTTAAATTTGACTAGATTTTTACTAATTACAAGACAACCAAAACCAATCTTCTTAATTTTCTCCTGCCTAACTTGACCAACTCGTATCAAAGAGCCGCTGGAACAACACAAAGAAAGAGGATATCCTTAATTTACTGGTTCATGATCAGATATCCTCTCTGTCCATTACTGAGTTTCACCTGAGCCCTGAGGTGGACCTCAGGAAGCCATCCAAAGCAGTCAAAACAAAAAGCAGCTCCCTCAATCTGCAGAGCGAATTTAACACATGGGGGGAAAACATATAACAGAGCAAACATGAAATTTTTGCATTTTTATCTAAAAGAGTTTAAAAAATGAATTCATTGATTTAGCTCTTATTCTGACCAAACTTAGAACTTTAATTTAATTGAACTGGTCTGTTATGACTGTTAATTTTAATTTTACTACAAATGTTTCCATGCAAGAAGCCTACCTGGTTCCTCTAAGCAGCATTTCGGCAGAAGCAGGATGATCTGACTTCTTGTCTTGGTTTTTTTCTTTTTTTTTAAAGTATTTTCCCTGTCAGCTGGTGCGTGCTGCAGTGCGTCTGTCCTGTCAGGAGAAAAAGCTRCTCTGGATGCTCTGCAGGTAGATGAAGGCTGGAGCTGCTGCTGCCCCACAGGCTCAGGGAGGAAAGGAGGGAGCTGGGAGAAACTCAGGCTGCAAATGAAACCCTGCACTGCCCACTTCTTTTTTTTTTTCCCATCCGAATGTGGGGATGATGGTGACGCACTGAGAGGGACAGGGAGGACCTGCTGGTGAAGAGGAAGTTTTAGAGCAAGAAAGCGGAGAGGAGTTGAGTCAGCTGCTGATGCTGCTGCAGCACAGGACACCTGCACAGGAGGAAGAGGAGGAAGCTTCCTCTTTCTAGCAATCCTGATTAAAGACCTAACATTAAAGCATGCATATCGCCCACCACCTTTCATACCAGAGTTTCAGATGTGACATTTTTATACATTTTGACACCTGGATCATCACAGTTCCAGAAAAATGCCTTGATTTGTCTTTTTAATCAGGATAACCCATTGATATTTAGTTTGAATCCTATTCTAATGAGGAGTATTTATTGTCATTTTAAGGAGGAAACCTCAAACAATGTTTAAATATTAAAATTTACCAGCTGGAAAGAAACAAAGCTTACTAACTTGTAGGGAAAATAACAAAAAAGATTAAGGCTTTTCTTCTAAAAATCATGTTTTTATTTTTGTAGCTACCCCTCCCTTACGATATTTGATTTAAACAGCCCATTTATTATATTTTGACAAATCCTCGGTTCAATGAGACGGGTCATACTTTATGTTGATGGACCTGCAGCTGTTTGGGTCAAAACCTTACGTCACRTTCAGATAACGGGTTGTGAACGACTCTCAGCTTCTACAATATAATTTTTTAGCTCAGTAGCTGCAAAAGTTATAACCACACTGTAAAAATGAAATGTTGGATTTAGGCTACTTAACCATGTTGTGTTAACTGGTTCCACTTAACTGAATTGAGTAAATTCAAAGCAATATACCAGTTTTTAACCAAAGAACATGAGGATGTTGCTTTGAATTTACTTAAATCAGTTTAGTGGAACCAGTTGACATAAGTAAGTTAAGTAAATCCAACATTTCATTTTTATAGTGCATTTTTGTTTTTAATTGATTAGCTTTTCATCAACAAAATTGATTGGGGTTGACTCCAAATGTTGATCAGCTGTAATAAATCCAATGATTGCATCCTGAATGTTTCATTCGAATTGGTCCTGTGGCTCATGAGATGTTTTGCTAACACACAAACTGAAATGATGCCAACAGTTTGAGCATTGTGAATGACAATATTTATAACTTTTTTTTGTTTTGTAGCTGAGGCAGCCATCTCAAACAGGGTTAGCTTTAAAAGTTAAATATAGAGGTACGTACTGTACATGTACATTCATGAGAACGGAATTATATTGAACTAATGCACAACTTTCTGCATGGCGGTCCAGGAGCACACAGTTAAATTCAGAGCCATCATCAGACAGACAAAAGAGACTTTTGTTCAGTTAACTCAGCTTTGGAACAGTTGATCCAGAAATAGATCAAGGATAATCACAACTGAGAGGAGACGAAAGAAACTCGTAATTATTGTCACTTCCAGAAGCTGGGTGGTGATATGTGACATGTGGGTTTAATTTTATTAAAGGTAAAGAAAAATGGAGTATAACATTGATAGTTGCTGGTCCTGCTGGAGTAAAGATGCTGATAATTTACTCTATTTGTTACTCCAATTAATACTTTCTTTAAATCTCCATGGTCAAAATCAACAAATAAAATCTACAAGTTTGTTTATTGTTGTTGGTGCTGCTGTTAGTTAAATCAGGATTTGTTTCTGTCAGTTTAGTCTTCGGGTTCTGATATGTTATTTTTTAATATTTTAGTATCTGCTGTGTCAGTCTGTTCATGAGACACACGGGAGGAAAGTCATGCTCTTTTTAGACAGAGTGAATGATGCTTTGTGTTGGACGTCCGGTGACTCAGCAGTGGCTGCACACCTGAGGAATCTCACACTCAGGTAGCAGCAGGACCGACTGAGAGAGAAATGTCAAAACTCAATGAGCAGACGGAGATCACAGGTCTGATGACCCAGGTTGACCCAGAAACAGGCAGAAACTAAAACCTCACTTTGTCATTTTGGAAGCTACTGCGGAAAGACGTTCAGCCATTAATCTGCTGAGTCACAGTTTTAGCTACTTAAAGCATTGAGGAGTTGAGGACTTTTGGTATTTATAATTTTTAGAAACATTTATTTATTTAGTTTCATTAAATCAATGACGATTTAAAATTTTTATGATTTTATCTTTTGTTTTTCTTTAGCCAACATTAGATTTTAGCTGATTTAGCTCATTTTACCTTATATGGCTACTGTTTTGTTGGCTTTAGCTTTTTACTACTGCTGCTAATTTTATCTTATGGCTACTGTTTTGTTGGCTTTAGCTTTTAGCTACTGCTGCTAATTTTATCTAATGGCTACTGTTTTGTTGGCTTTAGCTTTTTACTACTGCTGCTAATTTTATCTTATGGCTCCTGTTTTTTTGGCTTTAGCTTTTAGCTACTGCTGCTAATTTTATCTTATGGCACCTGTTTTGTTGGCTTTAGCTTTTTAGCTACTGCTGCTAATTTTAGCTCCTGTGCTGCTTATCTTAATTTTACCATTCAGTTTTAGCTTCAAAAAGATTCCAACATTCATTCAGCCTTTATAGCATTCACATTGTATTTTGCAGATTTTTTTGTTTATTAAGATAATATAAATYAAACACTAATCGTGAACAAAACTATAACGTATAACCCAAATACAAAAATCCACTTGGAGCTGACTAAATTTGACCAAACACAGTTAAACATGGACCCAGGCTGCGCCTCAGACGTGCATACAAGCTGAAGTTACATTTTCCAGCAGCACCCTATAATCAGACACTATCATTACTCTGCAGCTGAGCTCAGATCATTCAGTGAGTCAAAAGCTGCACTTAAGTTTAGCTTGAAACTGTCTTCAGATGTTTAGAAGATGCAACAAATCCTCATGTTACTAAAACGATACTTTGACTGTGGATACTTTAGCTCATGTTTAAAATAACATCATCTTTGTTGCACGAGGCCTTGCACCACCAGGTGGGAATCGTTATCAACCCCACCACTAAAAGGCAAATTTAAACAATGTTTTTGGCTGTCTGTTCCTAAAATATCTCATGAATCCCTTTCATTGAATGACATTTTCAGAATCATTGGCTGGGCATCTACAGCTGACCTCGAGGTCAAATCAGTTAAAGATGGCTGCCACAGCTAATAAACACTCAAATGGTTATAACTTAGTCAATTTTACTGATATTAAGCTAAAATTTGGTGTGGTAGTTGCTGAGAGTAACTCACAAAACATACTCTGAGTTTTTCAATTTATGACCAATAGAGTTATGGTCTTGGTTTAAACCTAAGGCAAGAAAGGTGGTAGGCGATATACTAAGCCTTTAATGCATGTGGTTGAAGGAACAAATATGACTCAGCTAAAACGCAGCCGAGCCTTTACGTAGTCTTAATTCTGCTCGTTTGTGGTTTTGTTTAACCGAGTTACCAGAAATGCTGTCAATGTCCCACAAGGTATAAATTCGAAGATGGACGTTCAAACGTTAAGCCGCCTGTAAAAAATCTGTGTGTAAATGGAAAAAATAAAAAACTACCCAGGGAGGACAAATGAAGCAATACTGAGGTTCCACTTCACCTACATTACACTTCACCTCACTGCAGACTCAGAGCTAGACAATGACAGTAAAGATGACCAGTCTTGGATTATTTATTTTTTTCCCTCTTTTCCCCATAAAAGCAAAACCTCAAAACTCAGTTTCCGCTGACTGGCTGCTTTTTATTCCCCGCTGGATGCGGAGGGAAACTGGTTCAGGAGGGATGAGTCTGGGAAAACTGCTGCAGCCAAACCAACAAGTTGCCCTGCTCTCTGCAGACACGAGGGTCCACAGATCCACTGTGAAACTTGTGACGCGTCGTGGCAGCGAGGCTAGTTGCTTCACCAGCTGCAGAATATTTGGTCTTCTGGTAACTCAATACACACGTTTGTGGCTGGACCCTTCATATATCACACATAAACGCAGCGCTGAGGATCAATTTATATATGACTGGGTAGTTTTATGAGAGAATGATGGATGTTTTTTTATAATAAATTTTGAAAAAAGTGTTTTATTTTAAGTGTGTCATCAAAAATAAAAATACAAAAGTCTGGATGAGTCCAGAGTTACAGTAAAACTCCACTTGTCAGATGAATTTATATAAGTTTTAGCTATAAAAGCAGCTGGACTCTGTTAATATTTGTTGTAATGGAGGCAGTATGTGGTTTAACATTGTCTTGTTGAAATAAGGATGGGAGCTCACGTTGCTCTACATTTCTGCATTCATGGTTTCTGCAGACGTGCAAGCTGGCTGGTGAAAAAAATATATTGTTTTATCCTTTTGTGTTTAACTACATTTATCATATGACTTTTATTTTGATCTTCAAGTATTTTCGCATGTTTGTTCTGACAAACACACGCCTTGCTTTTCAGTGTTTTCAAGTTGCGCTAACAAAAATGCTACTTTGAGTGAGCGTCCTTGTGCTGCAGACAACCGATGACATGACTGCTCATGCCACCGAAAGATGTGAAACTTGTAACCACCCACTTTTGTTTTGCGTCAATAAAAGCTGCAAGGAGGTTTTGAAGCCTTGGGAGAAGTAAGTGTTGCTACAGAAAGTCGTCTTCCCTTGTGCGAGTAAAATCTAACCTTGGTGCTGTATCTATTTTGTGTCTCTTCTTAGTTTCTCTGGGTTTTAAGGAGCCTTGAACCTGACGTTGGCCATGCTTTAGGCACAAATACACCCCCATAACATCAGAGAGGCAGGGTTTTGACGTGTGCGCTGATAACAAGCTGGATGTGCTTCTCTTCACAAAGTGGCAGCACGATGGATCAGTGGTTAGCACTGATGCCTCACAGCAAGAAGGTCCTGGGGTCTTTCTGTGCAGAGTTTGCATGTTCTCCTTGTGTGGGTTTCCTCCCACAGACCAAAACAAAGGCCTACCTTGCTAAATAAATCTCTGATCTCAGTGAGATTTACCTGGTTAAATAAAGGTTTTTCACTTTGTGTTGGTCAGCAGCAGTTCTATAATGCTCTCGCTCGGCGTCTTCTTTGCACGATAGCGCTTTAACCAGCATTTTGCAAATGACTCGGTGAACTGTGTTTACAAATTGTGAAAGGGTTAGCCCACACAGTGACGATAACAGAATCAGACCTGTTTTTAACGTTGTTCAAACCTGAAGATGTCAGGATTTCTAAGCTGAGCTCTAACGCACTCCTTCTAAACTCACTTGACCTCCTTTTCCTCAGCTGCTCATAAACTCACGACACAAATCAGTACTGTATGAGTCAAACGAGGTGAGCGAGGACTTTTGTGTAGTCTCCTCCCAAACAGATTCGGTTTCCTCGTCGTCTCCCAGACACTTTGGAAAGACGGACTCATTCATTTTGTCCAAAGTTCTGGAGAGCTGAATGTCTGGGTACTGGTCAAATAATAAGCCCATTTTCTGCCTTGTGACTGATCCAAACACACTGCAGCCGTTTCCACTCCTGAAGCTGCCAACACCACTAATGATGTCATTTTTTTACTCTTATGGTAAAAACTTAGGGATTTATTTCAGGTTATTGCTGCTCTCCTGGAGTTGGMTATAATCCCAACCTTATTTATTATTTTCCTATTAATGATTCAGTCATTATTATATCCATTTCAATAATACCATATTATCAATAATAATAAACATTAATACACTTGTTTCAATCATTTTGTGGGAAATTTGTTTAATCTTCTCCCAGAATTTTTGTTTTATTGTGAAAAAATATTTAATCATAAACTTATGTGCAGACAAAATAGATTTGTCTTTATTTTTGATTTTACTTACAGTATTTATTCACGTATAATACTAGAAATTTAACCCTAAAGATTATCCATAAAATCGGGGTATAGTATTRCACACAGGTTATTAATAATTTGATTTTTTATGCTTTTTAAGCCCAAAAAATGATCGTATCGAGATCGTATCATACATGAATAAACACGGTAATCGCAATCAATAGTTTTCTTTTTCTTTAGCTGTCTATTTTGATGTCCTATCAGACCTTGTAGCTGCTTGGTTACAGTTAACATGTTCTCTAAGGATGTGTTTTTATGTAGCTGAAAACTCCACTCAGCTAAAATAGTTACGTAATCCTGTGGGTTCGTAACTGCAAGGTTTCTCTGCAAGCAAACACTCACATCTCTAGTTSTACACTTTGTGACTGAATAACTTGTTTATTTCTTTCACTCCAAAACAGAGTAAAACTCGAGATTTAATATTTCTTCAAAATAATATAACAAAACTAGAATAGTTCCTGGAGAAACTACGAGAGGATTGCACTCTGTGCAAAACTTGTCCCATGTTGCTATAAGGGTTTKCTGTTTAAAACTTGTTTTGGCAGCCTTCTTAAAGATGTCTTTAACTGTTTGCAATTGAAGCAACTGCTTTAATAAATATTATCTTTAAAGGTCAAGAAATGAYTGATTTAGAAGTCATTTTGTRTGTTTTCTTGCTACATTTGTGCTTTGGTTCAAGAAATATTTTGCTCACAGACATTTTTCTATGCTATTTTTGTCATTTGTAAGACTTGAATACTCTAATAAAGTGGATCAGTTGTTCTAAAGACCTTCCACACTTTGTTTCACACTTTWTATTCATTCAGCATATGTAAAATGTGCTGAAGTCCAGCACTTGTATGGTAATCCAGGGTTGCTTGGACAGCCATCTTGTATCTGAGTTGGACAAATGTGTTGGACAGTGACAGARGACTGTCCAATGATGAYTGTGTTAGAGTTTTATAAAGTTAAWATCAGTGGTTCATGAGCYATTTCAAGAGGCCTTCTCCATKCATTTCCAATGGCTATTGTAGGGTGTCTTTGTCGGCCTACTGCGTCGCCATGGTAACAATGAACGTAAAGTTGAGTAAGAACACACTTCCTCTGGCCGAGCCGGTCGTTTTGACGTAYAACTTGTGTGGGTGCAKTCATGTTGRAAATATCTCCTTTCATTTGCATTGAGAARAAKTGTCCGTAGTTCCTTCGGCTGCCATCTTGTTTTTGATGTTTGTGCTCCAGTATGTGACAGAGGTTACTCTCAGCTACCAGTAAACCAAGCTTCAGCTCAAACAGAAGCAGAGGGAAATCCCTTTGAAAGTAGCTATGGCGGCCATCTTGGATTTTTATTTCGGCTACTATTTGTGGTAGAGGTCACTATCAGCTACTTGTGTGTCAATTATTAGCTCAATAYATTGAAAATTGGCTGAATTGGAGTAATTTGGACTTAGCTATTGCGGCCATCTTGTTTTTTTTATTTCGGCTACTATTTGTGATAAAGGTGACCTTTACCTACTAGTGTACAAATTTTGAGCTCATTATGTCTCAAACTGGCTGTTTAATTTAATAAACTCATCTAATGTCATGTGTGAGCTTTAACTCACTAAGATCCAGCTTCATATGGCTTGAAATGGCTGAATGAGGGCCTTGTTGCTAAGTTAGCATTAGCAGTTAGCTTTAAGTTGTGGGCAGCCTTCATAATGGTTTGAGTTGGCTCTCAGCTACCAGCTACAAGTCTGAACTGCATTCAGGTTTAAGGCCTTTTGGCCTTCCAAACTTCATTTCCAAAGGAGTTTTGTGGAGGTCTTTGTGGGTTTACTGCATTGCCATGATAACAAATGAAGCCTATGTAATGTCATATGTGACCTTTGACCTCTACAGCCTCAGCCAATCAGGAGGCTGGATTCCCAGCAGCAGCTCACCTACACTTGGGAGACCAAAATCTGCAGCTCCTCTGTCTGAAAACACAGAAATGGGTCCTTTCAAACAGCTGCTGTACAAAAAATATAAGGGGTATGGAAATAATTTTTGGACCCTGAGCTTTAGAAGACTTTGTTCTTTACTGAAATAAAATTTCAAGCATGTACTTGGCTTTACGGCTGAGACATCGCGAGTTAAAAAAGTAGTAAGTCTTAGAGCTCTGAGTTCAGTTTTAACCGTTTTTTTAACATGGCAGACACAGGAGAAGGAACTTGCTGGCTTCTGAGGCCCGTAGAGAGAAAACTGTTTATCTTCRAGCCAAACCAGGCACATTTTCTGAAAGTAGACAAAAATTCCTACGTTTTGATGTATAATTTGTCTTTGTAACRTGAATATTGTGGCTGTAGTAGGAATTTGTTCGCAATTTATTTTTTGTAAAACCAAACTTTCTCACTCTAAGGTCACATGACCCAGATTGAGGAGCTTCCCATGTAATCCAATGGGGATTTTTAGATTAGTTTGGTAACACCAAATTAAAGATAAATAATAGCACACCTCGTGAGATCGACGCGCTCGTTTTGGTGTGACTTTTGTGGGGGTACGACCTACGGTTYGGGCCGCATTMATGTACAAAGTTTTAGGATGAATAAAAAATAAAGAGACCCRTTTAGAGGTGGATAGTAATAGGTTGCCTGCCATTCAATAGAATGGCAAATTCTATTGAATTTGGCAGTGCAATCCTAATAAACAAAAAACAACAGAATAATGCAAACATTTACGCTGCAGGTAAGCTTTTACTTTCGCATAAAGTTCACAAATTATCTGTAAAGCTGTAGCGTTCATTCACACATGAGCTGCAGATAAAACTCCTGATGGAACACTGGAGCACACACCGAAGAGGACATAAATGTTCTTGGATGTCCCACATCAGTACCAGTAGGACGTCTGGTGCCTCCTGTTCTCCACAATGCCCATTTTCTCCATCACTTCTTCTTCCAGGAGTTTCAGAGACGGAACGTAAGTTTTTTCAACCGTGTCTTCAGGACTGGTGTCTTTAGGCCCATCTGTGTTAAAAATAAAAAAGCAAAACTTCAACATTTGCTCTAACAAGACTCTTTTAAAGCCTACCTACAAGCTTTTTACAAGTACAAAAACACAAAACATCTTTATTTTTTAAGGAACGGAGAAGAGAAAAGCTTCCAAAATAGCAAAACTGAGTCAAGAGGAGTGAAGTTACTGAGGGTTAGTAAGAATCAAAAATACTTTTTTTACTAAGTAAAACAAACTGAAACATTTTAATCCTCCTAGACTTTACCAAAAAATATAAACAACAGCTGGGTTTTATGTGCAGACTGTCCTCTGAGCATAAACTAAACTGCTTCTGAACATAAATACACCGGCAGTGAAAACAAACGTTTCACCTATCCACTGCTCCGGCACGATGCCGTCTTTTCGCACAAAGGGAGGTTTTGGGATTATTCGACCCGTCCTGACCGACACGCGAACCCTCTCACCCTCTTCTGTGAACTTCCACTCGACCTCAGTGGGCTGCCTGAGGAATGGAGATCAGAACGTCACAGTCGTTCCAAAAGATCTGCTTCAGAACTATCAAAGCAAATGATTTTCAAAACCACTGCCACACAGCTACAGTGAGTCAAAGCTGTGCAAATGTACGACAACCATTCAAAATCAGTTGTGCTGTTCAGTTTCCCTTACTTGTCTACTGGATCAATGAGGGAAACTTCACGATACAGCAAAGGATTCTCCCTGGCAATGTAAATTCCAGGGAAATCGCCGTCGTTTCCAATACGCATGTAATGCTAGAATGGAAATAAATTAAAAAAAAAAACATTTTTAGTCATCTAACAGAGAATAAAACATCCATCTACCACCATCTAGTGGAGTTAAAAGAAAATAGTGAAACTGCTAAAACTTTACTGTTAGTTTGTGTTTTCTTTTCTCTTTTGAAGATGTTGTTATAATAGAAAAAATGCAGCATTTAACCAAAGATTACACTTATAAAACTGTCAGTTTCTCATCTTACTGGTTAAGCAAAAATCAACATATAATGTAGGAGTAAATGATCCATGAGGAAAATAGTCATTTTTCTCTCACCGTGTTCAGTCCCGCCACAATAACCCAGTTTCTGGGTCTAATAACTTGGATCACTTTTCCTTGCTTTCCTTCGTCCTTATATTTAAGGATCTGTACCTGAAAATCAAAATTTCACATACAATACTTTATAAACACCATCTGTAAACCCAGATTAGTCTTTTATGTTCTTAAGCTGCAACTGAAAAACCTATCTAATGATCTTTTGCCTCTGTGCAGATGCGGAGTCTGACTTTAAACTTTTTTGAATACAAGAATGCATTTTATGACAATGGCACACAAAAACAACAAAATCAGTACAATCAAGCACAAACAAAACAAAGGTGTATTCTCTGTTCTGGTCTAATTCAAACTTCYTATAAAATAGTAAAGGAATTATGTGGGTTGTTAAAGTTTAGATTTTTTATTGCATTGCAAGATTCGTCCTGATGCATCTCAGTAATCCAGGTAAAAAATCAAAAAGAAATAAATTGTATAGGTCTATCTGGACGGGTTCTTCTCTAATGAAACGTTTCGTCTCTCCTCCAAGAGACTTCTTCAGTCTGAGAGTTTCAGGCAAAATTCAGGCTTTTAAGCACTGCCTCCATGTGACTGATACTCACATCACATGGCTATCGTTGACACCTAATTAACACTTATTGTTAACAGGGGGTGGAGTGATACTGGCAATAGCAGCGCTGTAGGAGGGGGACAACTGAAAACGGAGGCCTCCACCTCTGTTTAATGAACGGTCCTTCTTCACAAAAATGGCTTCTTTTACTCCTCTCTCAAACCAACGTTCCTCTCTATCAAGAATGAGAACATCCTCATCTCTGAAAGAGTGACCTCTGGCCTGTAAATGAGTGAAAACTGCAGAGTTCTGGCCATTAGATGTAGCTCGTCTGTGTTGGGACATTCTTTTGAACAGTGGCTGCTTTGTTTCTCCGATGTATAACTGGTCGCAGTCCTCCTGGCACTTAACAGCATATACAACATTGCTCTGTTTGTGCCGGGGCACCGGATCTTTGGGGTGAACCAGCCTTTGCCGTAATGTGTTTTGGGGTTTGAAAGCTACTGGGACATCATGTTTAGAAAATAAACGTCTCAGTTTCTCCGAAACACSCGCAACATACGGAATAACCACTGGTTTGGGTCTGGGTTTGGGGTCTTCATTTTCACCTGAAGGTTGCATGGAATCCTGTCTGTGTTTCCTGTCTGCTTTCAGGAAAGCCCAGTCAGGATAACCACACTGCTCCAGGGCCTGTYGTGTGTGTGATTTCTCTTTCTCCCTGGCTCCTGGGTTTGTAGGGACACTGTCTGCTCTGTGGTACAGAGTCCTGATCACTCCTAACTTGTGTTCCAGCGGGTGGTGGGAGTCAAAACGCAAATATTGGTCTGTGTGGGTGGGCTTACGATATACGCCAGTTTCCAACTGTCCTCCATCCGAAACCGAGACATCGCAATCCAGGAACGCCAACCTGCCATTTTTTACATCCTCTCATGTGAACTTAATATATTCATCCACAAAGTTGATGTGATCAGTGAAATGTTGGACTTCCTGGGCTTTAATTTTAACCCAGGTGTCGTCAACATATCTGAACCAATGGCTCGGTGGCACCCCTGAAAAGGACATCAAGACCGTCCATCATTAAACAGAGGTGGAGGCCTCCGTTTTCAGTTGTCCCCCTCCTACAGCGCTGCCATTGCCAGTATCACTCCACCCACTGTTAACAATAAGTGTTAATTAGGTGTCAACGATAGCCATGAGATGTGACTATCAGTCACACGGAGGCAGTGCTTAAAAGCCTGAATTTTGCCTGAAACTCTCAGACTGAAGAAGTCTCTTGGAGGAGAGACGAAACGTTTCATTAGAGAAGAACCCGTCCAGAAGACCTATACAATGTTTTTTCATTGCAAGATTAAACTCAATTCTGATTCAAGATGCTCTACAGCTGTGAACACTTCAGGAATATAATTAAATGCTCAACAGTTTGATAGAGGATGTTGTGAAGTTTCTGGGAGTGGGTTTCTCACCGTGTCCCCTCTGAATAAAGTCCAGTCCTCTGGGTCTATCGGCTCCACGAATATTTTTTTCCTCCTCCTCCCGGGAGGATTGGCCATCTTAGCTTGCACCGTCCACGGTCTGTGGATGCCGTAGCGGTAATCTTTGGGCAGGGGAATCTTTGCTGCCATCGACAGTAGAGCGGTCAGCCTCATGGTGCTGAAATAAGTGGAACAAAACTGGATTAATCACGTCACAACAACGCAACACACAAGCGATGCTAACGTCGTTAGCTAACACAGGTTGGCCTATTAACATAAAAGCTGTTCGCCGTTTTCTTTCTAATACATGCATCTACAATAAAACTAATGTTATTTTTCTTCGTAGGTATATTGCTGTAAAGTAAAAGAAATGTTACTCAAAWGTGAAGCGCTTACCCTAATGTCAATGTCACATGTAGCGGAGCAAACTAGCCATTACGCTACCACCAACTCATTAGAGCCCCCTGCTGGACAGGAAGACTCGGCTCTTTTCACGCATGCGCAGTTGCTCTGCACACTCAGCAGCCTGCTGCAGCCATCAGATCCCAAACACGGAGAACTGCAATGAACTAGTTCCACCTATCACGTTTGTTACATACAATTCTTAAAATACTATCTTTTTTAATTTTATTGTATTTAATTTCAATGAATAATCATTTGTTCTGATCTGATTTAGTCTCAAGGTTGCAAAACCACCTTTAAAACCCAGACCTTCTGGATATTATGTTGCATTTAACCCATCCTATATGTGCAAAGTCAACCAAACCCAGTGAGAAATACCAGTGTTGTCAGGACTTGTTAGGTTCAGTGATCATCTGCCTCTGAGATGAGACTGCGCTGCAAAGCTTTCAGGCTTTGTGAAACAAAAAAGTAAAACAATGAAATAAGTTTGGTTTGAAAAGTAAAGGCACTCTTCAAAGTTTCGAACCAGACTAACTATGATACCTTATTTCTAATGGACTAAGTGACCCAGCATGAGTAACATAACTAAAACGCAGAAAATCCTGTTTGTTGATTACAATGATTGTTTTGTTAATCTGTAAGTTTTCTTTAAAGGATGACAGAAACGCTGCATCTTTTTGGTAATCAACATGTTTATTGAATCAACTGGCAACTACAATGGTAAACTAAACAGCAGATTAAGATGAATGTCATACTTCTGAAAGGAACAGAGAAAGCAAAAAAATAAAAATAAAATAAAAACACTTGCAAACCAAATCGAACACTTGAAAATAACTCCAGACCTCAAGTGGTGCCTTGAACATTTTTGTCGATTGGTGCTGAAAGAAAGGTGGCCATCCTAACAACACTTAACAGTTACTTTTTATTTTATTTTTTTACTTTTTGTAATGCAGATTCTTCCCTTATGTTTCATGACTTGATAAACATCACCAAACGTGAAAAAACACTGAAGCAATGAAAGGACAACTTTCACAACGTTTAAAGTAAAAAAAAAAAATCATCTTAAAGTAAAACCACTCATAGTCCAGTTAAAAGGGGGGATATTTAAGTAAAGATGAAACCTTGAATTAATGTTAATTAATGTGACCTTAATGTGAAATTATGTCAAGAAGTTGTAGATGGACTTAATAGTCTTGAGATATAATTTTAAAATTCCGACAAAAAAAAACAAACAAACAAAAAAAAAAACAGGTGAAGACCTTTTCCCCTCGCAGCGTCACCACTGCTCCGCCTCAACACAATATTCAGGAATGTTCCAACCTCGTCCACTAAAAAGAGCGTCGCAGAGCTTTTATTTTAGGCTGGATATGAGATTCGACCACATTTGAGATCCTGCAGAATTTGGTCACCTCCAGTAAAGCATCAAAACGCACCAAAACAACAAAAACCTGTGTTGCATAAAAAGCAAATTAACGAGTAACAATGAATGAGGAAAGAGGGCTGAACGTGCAACTCATCATACATCCAATGACTGAATAAAGGACTGAATGAAGCTAAGAACACTATGAACTAAAGATGAAGCGTGTTGGTGAAAATTTGTTTTATTTCTTGTACAATTTCTACGATTTAAGACCTTCAAATGACAATTTTTTAGTCGTGTTTTAAATGTTATGTTCTTTTATTTTAAATGCAGTATATATTATTTATTCGCTCCAACTGGGAAAAAAAAATGTCTCGACACCTATCATTCAGTCTTTGTAATCATGTAATTGCACTTAGAAATAAAAAATATATAAACACCCAAATCCCGTTTATACATGAGCCTGAAAGCGCTCAGTTTAATTGAAGTAAATGTTGGTTTTTGTTTGGTTTCTGGGATATATGATATCCCAGAAAAAAAACGGCAATTGGAAATTTGTCTTTCATCTTAAACACGTTTAGTCTTAAATTCTTGAATTTGTTAAACAGCTGAAACCTGGCGTCCTGTGGGTAATCATGTCGATGCTCGATTTCCAGAGAAAAGCATACATTGAGGGTTCTTGGTTTTCTTCTGAGCTGACGTTAGGCGCTGTCTGTCGCAGACTGCAGGGAGAGCAGAGGATTACAGCAAATATTGCAGTGTCGGGGATTTTACAAATACAAACACACCAACAATCATTTTAATKTACTTGTAAACCATCTGTGCATTCAGTACATTTATAAAAAAAAAGACATTTATATTTATTTTGTTTCACCTGTGACTTTATGGATGCACTGAATTATCATATTTCATTACCAGATACTGTATCCATTCTCTAAAGCACTGTATTGATTTAATTAAGGCTTAACAGATGGATGTTAGATGAAATGTGAAATACAAAAGCAATTCCCACTGTTGTTATGACTGCATGAAAAAATGAATTTTATCAGATTTTATGAAAGCAWGAATTTTATTCAATTAGAATCTTTTACTCTATAAATTAAGCAGATAATTTGTTGTATAACCATCAGTCGTTAATAAAAGCAGGAAAARACTGACATGTTTACATCTCTTTCATTTTGCCAAAAAAGTTTATTCAACTGACTTGCAGTAGTATTTAATTACTTGTTAATTTACCAAACTGATCACTGAGATGATAAACTACAGCTGTAAATATAACGTATAAAAAATACACTTCAGTTCTTAAAAAGTTCGGCACAAACAAAAATGGAGGATAACTGGTTGTGGCGAGCCCTGAAGAGGGAACAGCGTAGTTGCTGTAATAAAAAATAACCTTATAATAAACCASAACATAGATTCAGCACTTGTTATCAAATCAATCACAAGTACAGTGGGGTTTGTTTTTATTTTGTCAGTAAAAGCATCTGATTTATTCGGCTCTCTCTAATTTGTTTACATTTATCTGATTTTATTAGAAGTGAAGGTTTAATAGTTYGTTTATATTCACTCCTGTGTTTTACCTTCTCTGCTGTTAGCTGGGCTCCTTCGGGAGCYTTTTCCTGGGCCTCTGGTTTGGACTCGCTCTGTGAGGAAGGCGTTGTTTCCTTGCTCCCGGCCACATCGTTCAGCTTGGCGTCCGCGTTGTTGCCGTCACCTTCCGCCTCCGAATCCTTTGGCCGCTTGGGGGACGCCTGTCAAAAGTGCGACAGAGGCTTTAAAACGGGTGTTCTGAACCGGCGAGGCGACTCCTCACGCCGGCTGTTTTTTTTTGACGCTCACCCCTGCGGACTCCTCTGCTTTTCGTTTAGCCCCGCCCCTCTCGTTCTTCTCGTCGATCACCAGGGTGCCCTCGTCCTCGTCGCTGCTGCCCTCGGCGTTTGCCTTCTCCGAGCTGGCCGTGTCTGCGGCGCCTTCCGAAGAGTTGTCCTTCTGTGACGACTGATGGCGAAGAGGAGGAAGACGTTTAGATCACAGTCTGTGACTCGGATCTACTCACAGCAGAATCAAACCATCCACCTCGTAGCCTTCATGAGTGACGGTGGGATTGTTCTCAATCTCCCAGAGTCCCTCAGTAAAGCCTTTCCTCTTGTTCGCCTTTCCGAACTTCTCCTTGCTTTCATCGTACGGGAACAAATCCTTGGCCCCAAGAAATGCCCTGCACAGGTCAGACAACATTAAAACATGCTGTGCCTTTTTTATTTGCTTGAACAAAAACAGCAAAACATAAAAMTRAATTAGCATTCAGTCAATTCCCTTCACTTATACCGACTCTGCATGAAGGGATAAACGGAGCACTCACGTCTCATGCGTCCCAAAAAAGAAGACTTGGTATTTGTTTGAGGGAGACTTCACAGCTCCTTCGGGTAGCTCATCAATCTGAGAATTAAAAGTACAAAATGGTGAATTTAAATGAGTGGACGTCGAAATATTAGTTCGAGCTTTCCCCACCATCAGTTAGCAGAACACATGTTGTGTTTTCCTCAGTTTTATTGAGTAGTTTCAACAAGTGACCTCACATCGTTACATTGAGATTATTTTCAATTTTTTGAACTTTAACGAGCTTCTATCAAATTCTGCAAATAATACGAGTGCGATTCTTGCAACAAAAAAAAAAAAAAAAAAAGAGCGATGAGCTGAACGTCATCAGTGCTTTGTTTGTCTCGTTGCCAACGGTTTTCAAAAAGGCCACAGTTCGATAGGCAGACGGGCATTTTGTCGCTCCCAGATAGGACCTCTGTGTGCTGGTGGTTGGGGCAGGGCCCGCAGCCTGTTGACTCGATGCTGATAAGACTTAAAAAAAATAAAATAAAAAAGGAGGGAAAAGGCACAGATCAAACCCACAAGATCTTGGGTGAAAGTGCACAGTCATGTGTTGCTTTTATTTATGTGCACTTTTTTATATAAATGTTTGTAAAGTCAATCAACGGTGCATCAAAAAAGCAGAAATACTGAAACTGAACTTTGTTTGCTTTTCATCGGTTCAGGTCAGGTGTGGTTGGGGATTTGACCTTTTATTTTTTTTTGTTTCCACATTTCATCATTAGATAACGTGCACCAAAACGCATACATAAGTTTTGCTGACTAATGAAAATAATTTACAACCATCTCTATTAAAATAAGTGAAAAATAAACAGCACCATACTAATTATAGATAACCCTTTCAAGCTACTTTGAATCTGTGCAGATATCTAAATGTTTATACTTATTTTAAAAGAAGAGATTAACTCTCATATTTGCCATTGTAAACATGCACTATCCTCTGTTTTGGGGCATTAACTGGACAGCCAATATAGCAAGTTGTTTTGAAACTGAAACATTATTTGAACAGAAATAAACTGTATTAAATGTGTACATGTAATTAATGCGTTTTATTTGGGTACTGCAGCTTTAAGAGTTTGAAATTTAGCTTTTTCCTGCAGGATGAAACTTTGATTTGTGAAGTTTTTACTCATTTCCACGCACCTTAAAACAATGTAAATATAATGAGTGTTAAAATAAGTGTAAACAATTGACCGTGGTTTAAAGTGATGTAATTTAAATACGTTTTTTTTAAACATTTATAAGCAGAAACTTGGAGGCAACAAGTGTGGACTGAGCGTGTTTACAAAAAGCGCGAATTTAGTTATTAGCTTACCTGAGATAATAAATTAAAAATAAAACCATTTATGTGTTTTTTGTCTCGGTTAAGTTTCGCAGCTGCTCGGTCTTTATCGTGGCTCCTGACACGGCCGCTCTGTTGCTATCTTTAACAGGTTACAAGCAGCTTAAAGTTGACGCTAGCTAGCTCAAAACAGGCCCCTGTTCACACGCAAAACTCCGCACACGCAAATGGGAACAAAATGAGTTATTTTTTAGTTTATCTTAAGCAGGGGCAAATCAACGAGACGCTTCTTTAAACGATGAATCATCCGAAAGAAATGTCTGAGCAGCAGCTGCCATCCCTGTTTGTTTACGCTTGGCAACGCAGCGGCTAAGCTAACTCATGGTGGCTAACTCCTCTCCTGCTAGGCCTCGAAGGAGAAATGAGCTAATAAAGCAAAAATAGAAAACAAATATAATTAAAATAATAGCACACGTAAAACGTAAGGCACATATGTAACGGAGGAAACTTACCCTTGCAGGCCAGTGTGGATACCCCTTCATTTTAGCAAACACCAGATCTCCAGGTTTGTATTCCTTTTGCCTGTTAGACCTCGGCATGATTCTGACTCAAGCTGGTTTTTATGTCAAATATATGTAATTAAAATACGGTGATAGGTTTTTTAAGTGTTGCCTAATTCCTTGTGGTCACCTCCTGCAAAAGAACAAGCGTCGAGGTGTCCAATAATACTAATAATTACCAACAACAATGATGATAATGAAGCTGGCGCGAAAAATTGGAGCGAAAACGCAGGTGACGGTATTTGTTTCCCTTCCGTTGATTTTAATAAAGAAAAAAAATCAAAACAATTTCCCTCTAACGCGAAATAAATAAAAGCTTTCGTATAAATTTAATTTCCAGGACCAAGCGCGGTGGATTAACTCCAAGCTCGTGTCGGACTATTTGGGTTTGAAATTAAAACCCGCTTCCCTGAAACAGACGCGCCCCCCAGTTGTTACCCGAAGGAAGAAAACAGCGCCTCCTACTGGCGGAT